ATAATTCCAACCGGGCCTGGGGTGCATCAATGGGGTCGCCATTGCGGTCAAAGAAGGAACGGCGCTTTCGCCTGGCTGCCAGTTGGACTTCGAGTTCGCAGTAGTGGACGGCATCGATGCGGACATGGGAGTACCTGTGTATTGGGATTTAGATGAGCAACGAGACCAAACGACACAGAACAAGAGTAGACCAGAGCGGAGAAGCTTACAATACACTTCGAGCAGCCGGATACCACCGCTTGCACACCACAGCACAGTGTGCTAGGTCGCGCATGTCACAGAGCATGCAGCCATCCTCGGTCATGGACTCCTCCGAAGTCGCATAGCTGCTGTCCGCTGCATGGGGACAAACAAAAGCAAAGATCCGTGCCAGAACCGGAGGAGGAAGGATCTTGGTGAAGTCTCGCCTTAACGTGGGAACTGGGGGAACACTATGATCGGGAGAGATGCGGAGATGTTCATAGCTGGCCGCATTCCCCGCACGGCTGTGGCTCTTGGAACGCCGTCTGAGTCGATTAAACAAGCCCATAATGATTATGATATTATTGCTAGAGGCAGTTTGCGGAGTGGGAGAAAGACGACATTGATAAAGGATTGTTGGGTTCGAGAATCACCAAGGGGGGCGAGATTTGAAGAGTGATCAGCTGGAAATTAAATAAAGAAGAAGGAGGGGGAGGCCCGGAGGATCATCAAAACTAAAGGGTAAGCGAGGCTGCGAGGCAGTCGGTTATGATTGGGACATGCACTGTCTTAGTGAGTTGGATTATCGGACGACCTTGGAGGATTGGACAGTTGGAAAGCAGAGAGACAGATTGCCCTTTCTGATGCCTTTATCCGTCGAAATTCGGGTTCATTTTCCCATTGAGTTTCGACCACGGAGTAGAAAACGGCAGACGGAAAGTAGGATCCTCTTTTTTGACGGCTGGAGGTGTGATAATGTGATTGGGACCAAGAACGATGGACACGCGCTGGAGGCTTCTTTGTCGCTTGTCTTGGCTATTTGGCTGGATTTGAATGAAGGAATGAAGGATTGTGATATTCCCCTTCGGGCTTGTCTATTTATATCAGTCCTATAAACAGGTCGCTATCCTAACAGTACATTTGCCGCGCATGAGTATTTCAACGTCCATGTCGATTAATAGCTGCCAATTTATTTGACATGTACAGGGATATCCAGCAGCTCTTTCAAAGATTTGATCAGACATTCAAACGTGATGCCGATTGCCAAGCTAGGAGCTTTGTACGAAACGCGGGCGGGTGTTTCATATTGGCAGTCAGACTTAAACCAGTGGGGTTGTAAATGAACGACGTTTCAGCCTTTGAACTGTTCTTTTCAGAGTAGCCAGTCATAGTCTATATTATCCAAGTTAATCCAGAACCTTTTTTTTGGGACAATTGATAACCAGACAAAATAATTGAGCCGGGGATCTGTGCAGCATTTTGAGAGCACGTGAGCAACGACAGGGGTCCAGATAATCATACACTACGAGGTATTCTCACGAAAAGAGTTGAAAGGTGGCAGGAGTACCATTATCAAAACAATTGATCGATATCACTAATTATTAGTTATGGCTGCTACTTTAGCCCTCGACTTAACTCCTACCTAGACGCTCACGTGGCCTGATCGTCTCCAGTTGGCCAGACTCTCGTATGAGGTCAGATTGGGTTTGAATCTGCAGGAAATCAAGAAACTTTCTATTCGATTCTGGGGAAGCTTGATATAAGGTTATGTCTATATCCATGCCTGACATCTTCAGCCGTCAATCAGGGAAGTCAAGACACGTCTGTCCAGTATCGATTTTGCCTGACATCGTCATGATGTCATGCCATCATGATTGAATACACTCAAGAATGCGATGAAGTACCTGATTGTCCATGGTATATAAGCCGATTCCAGAGAGTCGCATCGAATTCAGATTGAACATCGTCCTCTCCGGAAAACATTCATCTTCATGCTCTGCACAAGGTTCGCAACCGCTCGTTGTGCCACCAACTGGTCATTCTCGACTGCAATTCGCCCAGTTAAGAATCAACAGACAATCAAGCGGGTTTATCTGACCAAAACTGCCCAGACTGCGTCAAAGTACTGTTTCCAGCTCAGGTCATTTTCAAAAATAACAGAAGATATGCCAGCTAAGGGATCGTCAATCCCCAAACCTAATGCCTCCAATGCGTCGTCTGAGCGCCCCATGGAGAATGAGGAATGGAAACAACGTCCTCCGTATCTGATTCAACCCCCTGAGGAGTTCGGTCCGGTGAAGTGGCAAGCCAAATGTCAGTGTGGTCAAGTCACCTATAAGATTAGTCGAGAAAAGCCGCTGAAGGCCAAGTACTGTCATTGTCGAGGTTGCCAAGTCATGCATGGTAAGTCAGACGATGGCATACAGTCCATGCGATGTCCACAAGACATTGAGAGACACTGACCTATTTGCAGGAGCTCCTTTCCAATGGGCTGCAATTTTCCACAAATCTGATCTGACATTCGACAAGGGAGCCCACGGTCTCTCATTCTATTCTTCCGCTCACAGTACGAGAGAATACGAGGTTCCAACAAAAGTATCATGTTCATTCTGTCGGACTCCCATCATGGACGAAGGGCGAAATGTATGCCTCATTTTCCCAGAAGCCATTGTCGCTGGTGATTCGGACGAGGAGCGCCAGAAATGGAGGGAGGCTTTCGCACCTGAGTATGTCATCACTTCTCAACAATTGCCATCAGAACTTCCTGGCTAACTTTTTCTCGCAGTTGCCATATTTTCTACGACAAACGCTGCATAGAAATTCTAGATGGCAAAACTAAGTGGTCAGGGATGGATGAAGAGAGTGATCTCGTGGATGACTATGGTAATAAGAAATCAGAATGAGCATATATATTACATATTTCAATCTGTATATTGGGTCTACTCATATATTCTTCCTGAATGATATCTTCAAGATTATTCATGTCTGTTCTATACATCCATTCTCGCGGTCTGCGTATACTAGAGCGCGGAAGCCAATGAACGCCATTAACGAGAGCATGTTCCTCTAGCAACATAATCTAATTACCGATTTATGCTAGTGGTAACCTAGCTGTCAGAGTCTCACTCGGGGCCCTGGACCGCATTAGGAAACTCGTCCTAGAAATGGCCCCCAGTTGAGCTTGTGATCGACACTATCACTGATCATTCGGCTTCGGCTTCTCACTTGAGACAACCATGCATGATGAGCCGTTCTGATTACCTTCAGCTGCCATCCATCAGCCAATCTCGTCACTTGGTTCCTGGTAAGCTTCTCATTAAAGTAACTAATTTCTTCATCATATTGACACCTTGGGATGTAACGCGAGCCGTTCAATCTAGGGGCATCAACAAAATGTTACCTTCTCTTATGAGCTCTAGTTCTCACCGGGATCTGTCCCTCGAGACACTCATCTGCGAGCATTTAAGAGATGAGACTTCCTCTGCACAGATTGGATTTGATGTATACTCCTCATCCTGAGCAGCCCATTACTAAACAAATTGTAACCTACCATGTGGTCAAAACTTCATTTCATCAGTCTTGCTGCACTGTCAGCCAGGTTGGCAGCAGCAGTCACCCAAATCACAGACAATGAGATGAGCAATCTTCTGAGTCAAGGCGGCGTCGAGCTGGCGGACCGTTACGCCCCGCTGTGGTTTTTCGGTCAAGCCCAGAATCAGCCTCCATGCTATCCTACATGGGCCTTCGGGGGCTCTCCCACCTCGTCTGATATCTACGACGACGCTCACAAAACACCAGCCGCGCCACAGTGTGATTATCCCAATGTCGGATGCAGATGCCGCAATCCCGGCGTGGGGATCGGGAACCGCGGACCAGCGTTCCCAATATACTTCACCTACAAGAGGTGTAGTGACACCGAGGTGCGGGTGGTGTATAATCTGTTCTATGAGAAGGATGGTGCTGAGGTCATCGGTATCGATACTGGTCATGATTAGTGAGTATATTGGATTCTCGAAGTGATCAATCGGAGGAGCTAATAATAGGTGTCTAGTGACTGGGAGAGAGTGATCATCATCCACTCGAGAGACGCAAACAACATGTGGGCGCCGTCCCGTGCCCTTCTCTCTGCGCATAGCGGCTACCATGACCTGGCTTGGGGAGATATCCAGAACACGCTTACCACCGACGAGATCAATGCCGGGGACGCCAAAAATCCCAACGGTGTGCGGAACAATGACCATCCAAAGGTCTATGTTGCTTGGTCCAAGCACGCTCACTTTGATGACCGCAATACCGGCTGGAACGATCCCATCAGTCAGTCAACGGATAATGCGTTCCGCAGCGATGACTGGTGGTATTATGTTGACAAGAGCTATTATGTGAGTCTTTCCTCTGTTTCTTCCAGCAGTTCGGCAATTGTTAACAAGCATTAGATTCTGTCGGACAATACCACGGCTGCTGGCAAAGCTCTTGGGTCTGCAAACTGGGGCGATGCAACTAGTAACCCTCCTTCTGTGCATTCAAGCGTGTGCTCTGCGCCATGATGGTAGTAAATGAGTGTGCATGAGATTGGCAATATGGTTGAACTGATTGAGATTTCCTACTCCGTTTGTGCATAGCCAGTCTCTCTGAGAGCATAGATGATAATGTATTATTGCTATAATTGCGAACTAAGCAATAAATAAACATTGACATGACCTCCCGAGAGGTAGCTGTGGGAGGGTCAACCCGGTAGTATAACTTTGCCGAATGACGTCGATGCCCAAACCAGTGAGATCCACCGTCGCAACTCACAACTCACCAGTTGACTCCAGCAATCATTTATAAAGCGACTGTACAAATTCCTACTTCAAATGTAAGTCAATTGATAATTGACTCCAAACCCCATCAATCATCGAATCCCTCGCTATCAATTCCATCCCACCACCCATTTCACCCCCCTCAAGCAACCCCGCAACACCATCCCACCAACCAAAAATCCACTAACAGCATCAACCACCAGCTCCAACCACAACCTCAAACCCATCCGCGAAGCAGAAATGTCCTGGTTCCAAAAAACCTTCACCCTCCCCCCTCGCTCCCGCGGCTCCTACCTCATAACCGACGAAGTCCTCTCCCAACTTCCCGAAATCCGCAACTACAAAGTGGGCATGCTCAACCTCTTTGTCCAGCACACCAGCTGCGCGCTCTCGCTGAACGAGAACTGGGACGAGGATGTGCGCGCCGATATGAGCGATGCGCTGGATAGGATTGCGCCGGCTGACCGCAAGGGGAATCTCTATCGGCATTCGGCGGAGGGGGAGGATGATATGCCGGTATGTTCTTTGTCCTTTGTCGTTCGTCGGTTGTGAATTGCGTTACGGGAATGGAGAGTGGCGGCTGACGAATGGCGCAGGCTCATATCAAGTCCGCCCTTGTTGGGGCGTCGGTCAATATCCCCATCACGAATGGGCGGTTGGCGACTGGTACGTGGCAGGGGATTTGGTATTTAGAGTTTCGGACGAGTCGGCACACGCGCAAGGTTGTTGCGACGATTCAGGGTGAGAAGGCGTGAGTAGATGGTGCCCGGGGGTGTCTATGATTGCTTTTCGAGGTGATGGTGACAGCTACGAACGTCACTAAGTTTATTGGTGGATGTAGAGGGCTTATCGAAGCATGGACGTAACGCTAGCCGTGAAAGTGTCTTGCTGATGGTATATGAATGCTTGGTGTATATATTATAGCCGCAGACATGTCAAGCAGTGTATGATCCAGGCTTATGCTCATCACCCTAGGTGGAAGAAGAAGTTGAATCTAACAGTTCATTGATCTGGTACAAATCTGTACATGAGCCCGGCAGGGCTAAAGAATATCAAAACAAATCATCAACGCCAACAATGAAAATAACCGTTCTTCTAGCGCTGCTCAAATGCACCATCGGTGACACGTTGCGTCTCGTTCGCCTCGGTGGCATCACCGGTAGGTTCGAGGGGGTAGCTGGTAGCGGGGAGAGATTTGAGGTATGCACGGTGCTGCTCGTGGGCCTATAGATCATTTGTCAGCGTGTCCATGCTCCAATTCCAGAGGATGAACTTACAAAAGGAAGACCGCAGTAGCCGCAGGTAGCAATCTCGGGCTTGTCAGTGTTGATGAAGATACGGGGGTGACCCAATGGGCCGCCGCCTCCGTCACAGCTGACGATTCTCTTGTTGGTCCAGCGCACGGGCTGTTTGTGGATTAGTTCGATGGCGGCCATGGGTTGAGGCTAGAGGAATCCATGTTAGATATACATTCCATGCGTTGACACTCCAATAAGTTCCTTCCAAAAAGTTCACTACACACCTGAAGCTCCATAATGGTCTGCTCAAAACGAGGACCGGTCATAGCCTTTTCCCGAGGCTGCTGGCTAGCGGCCCATGTAGTGGCACGGTTGGGGGCCTGAAGCTGGCGGCTACGCTCGCCGGCCTCGGGCTCCTCGCGCATGGGAGCATCCCATACACCCTGTGAGTCGGTAGGGGTAGCATTGGTGGCAGAGACATTGGGCTCGGGGGTTCGCGGGGTCGGGTCGTTGGCTTGCATACGGTTCTCCGTCAGGCGAGGCATGGTTGTCGAGTAGCTGGCCCGGGCGACGAAGCGGGGGGTCCACGCCGTGGAGAAGGCCGCGACGCGGCTTCGAGCACAGGACAGCATGCTGGGCAATTGGGGTCCCTGGTGGCACAAAGGGAAGGAAGGTGTGTCTTGGGCGGCGGAGAGCGGAGGTTGGAGTCGGGATGAAGGGTGAGGTTTGCGGGAGCTCGCGCGGCCGCTTGTTTGACCAATGAGAGCCGCCCCTGCGGCTGTGACGGCGAAATTCTGCCGCTCGCAATGAAATAATTTCTTGCCTGTTTCGGTCACTGTTTTAATGTGGTCGTTGTTTCTGTTTGAGAAGGTCTCACTCGTCAAGCCAAGGTTAGGAATTGAACCAAGTACTACCTGCTCAAGGGTTTGATTCAGATTCACAACTTCTGTTTATGTTATTTGCGTGCTCTTTCATTTAAAAAGCGTCATCATGCCTCCCTCTACATCCTCTGGCTCTAAGCCAGAAAAAACCATGTCGTCGCGTTTACTAACTATGAAGGTGCGGCAAAAATCAGTATTCTCTACAAATTGTCTCTCGATTAGGCTGACCAAGTATTGTACAGTTCATGCAACGAGCTGCTGCCACTGCTGCAAGCAAAGAAACACCGCAGACTACCTCCGCCGAAGGGTCCACCACTTCAACACCGAAGCGACCCAGACTTTCCAGCGAGGGCGTGTCGCAAAGTCCCCGTGCAGCACAATCTTCAGATTTAGAAGCTATCTCGGCTGCTCTTGCGGCCGAGGAAGAAAAGCGAAGGGAAGCCATCGCCAGGCAAGCTGCAGATGCTGGTGAAACCGAATGGGTGCTCGACTACTCTGGAGCGGAAGATACGGGCAACGAGTATGCAACACAACCTCTTGTCCTCGCCGCGGACTCTCTGGACGCGGACGACGACGATCTGGCCTACGGTGGTCGACAGGCGTATGGAAATTTCAAGCGCAAAAACAAAGTCGAGGTTTGTGATTTCCTTCATTCTACCCGGAGAGTATGTAGCTGACAGTGCCATTTACCAGCATTCCGATGCTACCACCGATCCGACAGATCCTGAACAGATTAATTCCATGATCAACAAGGCGAAACAACAGGCCAGACAGAGACCTGTGAAATTGTCCCAGTTATCAAGTATTTCTGGGGGTCGTCATAGCTTTGGTGGGGGTGAAAAATCGCAGAAGAAGCGCAAGCATAAATAAATTGATCCCTCGATGACTGTTTATCAGCTCAAGTGGGCATTCTCGGTGCTCGGGGGTGTGCTAATCATGGCCAAACGAAGCTGAACCTGGCTTTCTGCAGGAAACAGCTCCCTGGCTATGATGTAAGCCTGCGTTTTCCACATGGAATGACCGCTCGTTGGGTCGAATCTCTTGCAGATGAGGGTACATCCTCACAGCCGAATGAAGACTCGTCGACTTGACCAATAGACCCGAGTCTTCGACGAGTCAGAAGCAGTGTAAGGAACGGAACGAATTCCGATTTCGGGTTGCACATTTTCCAGCAACGTTGGCATGATTTCCACAAAATGCGGCGATTTTGCGTCGTACGGAGAGCACCTTGTGAAATCTTCCAAGGCATGATACGGACGAGACTGCAATGGTGTATGGGCCTCATCTGAGATTGACACCTGCTTTCCTTGGGTTAGCATTGTCTATGTCCATAACAGCGACCACCTTACTTGAGCAGTGGGGCCTTTGGGGTCACCAATCGATTGAAATCCTCTTCGATACGTTGGAAATAACGCTGCGACGTGCATATCTCCGTTGACGGATTGTTTGACATCAAGGCCCAAAGGGCGCACGCCCTTTGGCAAAACGGAGCGTGCCTTGTCGACTTGCAATGTCACTCGGACCAGGCGAGATTGCTCCGTCTCAAAGTTCTCCATACTGTTAAAACAAGGGCAAGGCATCTTCTGTGGGACTACCTCTGAGTCTCGAATCCAATTGAACTATAGGAGCGTGAAGGCAGCGACGGGTACAACGATGACCGTTAAATTACCAGCACTTTGTGGTGCAGGTTAGCTTAGCTCGAGTGGCTATGTCCTTATATTAGGGCCAGCATGATGACCTGAAGGAGGAATAGTTGCACCTCACAATGATCTGTTGTTTGCCAAACAAACAAGAGGAGCAGATCCAGGGAGATCAGCTCATGCCAAACCAATCTTGGCCTTGTGAGAGCAACCAGTCCAAACACCAGCAAGAGTCTCGAAACACGCGTTTGCTTAATCCAAGCTGTTTGTATTACAGAGTCTATAGTTCCCTCTAGAACGCCGCACAGATCCCTGGGCTTGCTCTTAATCCCGCAGTCGTTCAAGAACCACTCGCTTTGTAGACTAGCCGATCACCCTGTCCTAAATCATAACTTGGCCTTCTCTTCCCTCTCTTTCTTCTGCCAGCTCTTTTGCGTCGCGAAATTCACTGCCAGATTCCAAGCCGCGATGCCCACTCCCAACGGCGGTGCCAGCAACAAAACCCACGCCCACCACTTCGGGCTCGATGCCTTAATCGTCTCCATCGCCTTACTGACCTCCCTCTCCAGATCCGCCTTATCCCCGTCATTCCACACAATAACCCCCCTCGCCGACCCAGTCCCCCGAAACTCCGCCTTCTCGACCTTCCCACGCACATCCCCCTGACTCCTCACCCTATTCTCCGCATCCTCAGCCGACAAATGCGGATCCCGCGCGCGCAGCCGCGCCATCTGCACCGCCGGATCCCTCACGCCCACAACCACCACCGTCCCACAGATCAAATCCATCCCGCTCTCAAACAACAGCGGCACGTCAAGCACCACCGCCCAGTGGCCGCGCACATAGTAGTACATCAGCGCCTTGTAGATCTCCCACCGCACCGCGGGGTGCACAATCTTGTTGAGGATCATGCGGTCGCGCTTGCGCTCCTCGCTGGTCCCGAATACGCGCCGCCCGAGGGCCGGGCGGTTCAGCGGTCGTTGTGAGCTTGTGGCATCGTCGTCTGAGGAAGGGAGGAGGAGATCGGGCGTGCTGGGGCCGAAGTAGTTGACTATTGCTCTGTAGGCAGGCGTGCCTGGTTCGACGACCTGGCGGGCGAGGAGGTCTGCGTCGATTATGGGGAGGGAGTAGGGGGGTGAGGAGAGGAGGGCTGAGACGGTGGATTTGCCGGTTGCGATGGAGCCGGTTAGGCCAATTATGAGCATTGTGTTTTTGGTTGTTCTGATAGACAGAGGGGGAGTTGTGCTCTGGCGGAGGTGAGGCAGGTTGATTTGCAGTAGATCTATCGTCTATGAATCGGATTAGGACTCGTGAGTTCTTGAATCAATTGAGCATGTAGGTCGTCAGGATGTCGTTGTTGTGAATAATGACGTTGAATGTCTACGAAGAGGAGCTGAAGTTGGAGTTGGTGATTTCGGGATGCGGGGACTGCCGTCAACCTCGGCCGGAGTATGTCACACGGAGATAAGCTGCTGAATCACTTCGACAATTGAGCTTGGTAGGAAACTTCACAGATATTTGACTTGTCATGTATATGTCTTTCATGAGAGTAAATAGGTATCATCGAGAAGGATATTACAAAGCTATCATCATACTTTTCGTGAGGCCGCACAGGTTTGTACAGAACAGCCATGTGGTTCCCGCATTTGATGGTGTTGAAGGGGAGATCGTGACACCACACTTCTCTCAGATCGATCGTATCTGTGACGACAAATCTAGCCCTTGCAGATGATGTATCGGAGACAGGGCCATGTCAATCGAGTTCCCCAGAAGCTCGATGACGTTCCATTGGTTGACCTAGACTGGCACGCCCTTTGAGCCAGCTTGCAGTACAACCAGAACGACCAAAATCAGGCTCTAGCTCTCAGCGGGTGCGCGCTTCTACTCGCCAGCCATGGCATGTACGGCGCAGTCCGCTTCTCAAGAGCACAGTACTCGACACAGGACCGGAGCTAACTCAGATAGCAAAAGCAAATCCAAGTAAGCTTAGGTCTCTGGAAGTCCTGTACTGGGATCTTGCTGCTGGCCCTTCCAACCTATGTACGGCCAACCCTGCGGAAGAGTTGAGTAAGGCGGAAGTACATAGCGCCCAGCGCATTCCCTTTCGTTTGGACATGTCAGATCGCACAAACCAAACACCTTGCAATAGCATTCTTCCGCCGTGGGGCAGAACACGGGTCCTTGGCCAAAGATCACTGACAGCTGTTAGCACCGCATTGCTTTTTAAAGATACTGTGACGCAGGGGCCGGGGGGTCGGAAACATACTATGCCACGAGTACTCCATAATCCGTCCACTAAGATCATCCTTAAGTGGCGTCTCAGACAACCATTTCCTGAACCGCACATAGTCACTCTTGGGCCTTTCGCGGACCTTCCAGTTCGTGACTCCAAACTGCGCGCAGCACGACACGCCAACCTCGTCTGGTACGTCAACCCCAGGAAACAGCTCCATGAAGCCGTTCTTGAAATACTCCCCCGCATGCACATCGTCACGGTGGGTATCCGTGTGCGGGTGGATCTCCGACGGACATCCGAGAGTCCACGCACAGCGCAGATTGACATAGCCTTGCTTTTGTAGATAAGAAACTTGGAAACGACGGAGCACGGGAACTCCGTCGTAGTAGGGATCGTCGTTGTGCCATTGGAAGCGCTGCGAGTGGATGAAAAGCATCACGTCGGGTAGATGGTCATAATTATCGATTATGTATCTGTCATCTGCCATCAGTACTAGCCTTCACGCAATAAGGTAACGGACCAAAAGCACATACGTCAAATATACCATAGACTCCCGTCCTTTGTTCTGCGCCACGGTCAACTCCGCATTCTTATCGTCGACCACGTAGACACTCTTATGCCAGTCGGGGAAATTCTCGAACAACCACGAGGTATTATCACTCTTCATGCTCGCGACCACCATATCTTTCTCGATCCTCTTGTCGTCGTGCGACGGAGATGCCTGCCCCGAACGCGAGTCCCGGTTCGCCCCCTCATCGTGGACCGGATGATGAACCGAGACGGCCGACTCTCGGTCGGTGGAATTTTTCGCAAAGAACAGAAAGTATAGAGCGTAGATGATGACAACTGTGACAAAAATTGCCTTTTCCTTATTGCGACGGCGCGGGCTCTGGACTCCGCCGCCGAAGAACAGCATGGTTGTAGACGTAGGAGAGAGTCCCTGAGAGTGGGGGTTTTATGACAATTCCGCAATTACTGATGACAGAAATAGTATCAGCAGCATGGAGGGGCGACCATCGCGGCGTGTAGAGCAGATGTTGAAAATGCGCAGAGTCGGGAGTGGCACAGGATTGGAGGGTGGATTCAATTGCGTAAAGACGTTCGAAAGGATTGCGCGCTACTGGTCGTTAATCATGACAGAATTAATATTACTTTCAAAACAAATGAGCATTCAGTAAGAATGCACTCCGTCGAGCCAGCTTTCACCAGCCGGTGATCGGATCAAGTGGATGAAGCTGGGGATAAACTCCAGGTGTCCAAGTTCAAACCAAACAAACTTCCCCAGAACCATACCTGTCCACTATGTGGATCTAGAGATCTGTACGGTTTATTTCTACCAATTGACATAAAGTCCAGTATAGAAATGGTCGCTTTGCAAGTAATAAGTCATCAATTCATTCCTCGTTCATGAGCCAAGCTTAAGCTATCCTGGGTCTTTTATATATCCAAAAGCTGTTTATATACTGCGCTTATTGACAACCATCAATATGGCCAATATACCAATTATGGGCCTCAATGCTGGTAGAGTCCTCGCCCGCATTTCCACCGCTTGAGTCGATTCCCTGGACGACCGTGATATCAGACGTCGTGACAGGCGCGTCGTCACCGCTCGTGATCCAGTACTCCGGGCTAGTGTGGCTGAAGCCAAAGACCCGGGGCGGGAGTCTGGGGACAATATCGTTTGTGTGTGTGACACGGTAATTGGAACCCTGTCCAGTGATGAATGTTGCCAAGGCCTTGTTTCCAACACGCGGGGATCCGTAACCATACTTTAATCAATCAGTCCCCATTACGCCCTTACCTGATTTGACAAGGGATGACTTACCAGCTCTACGGGAATCCCTGCTTTCCGCAACGTAGCAGCCCCCAGTGTTGCAAGAGCAGCGCCGAAGCTATGTCCAGTAAAGACAACGGTATAGCCACTGTAAGTTGCAAGGGCAGAGTTTAGCTCGGTCGTTAGTGCATTGGCAACGACTTCCCAGGCCTTCCAGAATCCCCCATGTACCGCGCATCCGCTGCAAACATCACTGATACTGTCCAGACCAAAGTCCAGGTTCGCCAACCAAGTGTCTATCGTGCGGCTTCCTCTGAAAGAGACCACAAGTAGCTTGTTCGTGGTGTCTGCAACCAAGAAGCCTGCGACGTCTCCATACGCGGAGTCACTACCAACTCTGTTAGATATGCGAGCTACTCATGCATGGGATCGACCTACTCGTAGAATTCCGAAAGGGTCTTGGTGTTGGCTGCCTCGACCAGCGGGCAGTCTCCAGAAGAGCACGTCAGCTTGCTGCCCGTGGAATTGATGTTGTTGGTACAATAGGAGGCAGCAGAGTATTGCGCAAACAATGACAGTTTTTGCAGCACCGACGAGGACACGGCTACTTAATAGTTAGCACCGCACATAGCCCAGTCGTAGGAAGCGTCAGACATACCTCGCTCCGCCAACATTGCTGGCGCCGCAGCACCCAGCGCAGCAAACGCCGTAACAGCCAGCGTACAGACAGACTTAAAGTGAACCATGATGCCTAGCCTATACTCAAGACAACCCTTTCAGAGAAAATGTAGGCAGACTCTGCGCGATAAGCCCCCAGGAGACGACACGGCACCTTGGATCCTCATCTTCAGCGATCTGCAGGAATGCGGAGAATTTATACCCTGCCAGAGCCCACATAGCGACTCAATAGTCGCACTCTCCACTCTCAAATATTCATCGCGCCTTGCTCGTCAGCTGAGGGCATTTCTCGCGAGCAATCCAGGGTGGGGTACGGAGTAGATAGGCCCAGTCAGCCGTCAACCAACCGGCCTCATTGTAAACATGGCACGGCGCTCCTCTCGGCGCTCCTCTCGGCCAAGCTGACACATTCCGGGAGATTTCCCCATTCCTCGCTGACTCAAACAGGATGTTGGCCCGTCGCCAGCCATGAAAATGGAAAGTAGTATCTACTAGATACAACTCCGTATGCGCGGGTGCTAAAGTAGCGTGTGATGCTCCCCACCAATCCCGTGATAATCCCCGCAGTCTGCAGAAGCCCCAGACGTTCGAAAGACTAGAAAGGTGTGAAGAACGCGAAGATCAGTAAACCAGGCTTGAGAATGTGGGACTGATTGGTCGAATTGTAGTTTTCCAAGGAATATAGTACACCGGTGACCGGACTCCGGCTGTCCGGCAAGAGGAATCAATCAATAGACTCCGTGCCTGGCTCTCTAGCGGTGACGAGTGACGAGAAAAGATGGCTGGCGGCTAGCGAGAAATGGCTCACGCCAAGTTCCGGGCCAAATCATCCTATCCGGTGATACTGAGGAATCACGCTGGCGGTGTGGATGGTCGATTGGACGAGATAGCAACTGAATGGTGGAAGATTCCTCGTTGCTTACCCTGCTGCAGGGGAAGGGCCAACCATTGGATTGTCTTAGATTGCCTTATACGAGGTGTCGTCACAAAGCATGCATGGCGCAGGCTGAGTCGTGCTGTCTAAAGTATCTAGCGTCGGCATATAAATTCCAGCAGTCCTCATGACCATGAACGAGCGGTGGAGCACATGAAGCCGAGACTCGAGGAAATTGACTTGCCGTGCGTATGCGATGCAACACTACTCTACCTTTGCCGTCCAGCCTTGACCACTACGTAGTGAGGTACTTTCCACGTGGTACTAGAGCGTACGCGGCGACTTGGCCAAAGCTACTCGGAATCCCATCTAGCTTTGGATACCAACATGTCTAATTCATTGACAAGCCTAATTTTGACTTCTAAAGGACACCCTCAAAACCCATCAATTGATGCTCGAAATGCAAATTGTCCATAATACCCAGGGAAGGGAAGAAACGCGAAAAAAGCAAAGCATACATTCGCTCCGTGGAACGCCGACCATGTACATTAAGAAATCATATCTATCTTTGATGGCAAAGCTAGATGGGAGTTACTAGGCGAGGTAGTATCAATGCTGTAATCCAATCAGCTCTACGCTTGATGTGCGAAAGACAAATGGAGCCAGAAAGATATTATGCCAACATACCGGACCATTCACTGGGCTGCATGACCCTTTACTGCTATTACTGCGCGTTCTCCCCTCCGTTCTCCCCACCTTCAGTGTAGTCCGTCATACCGGCATCCTGCCCGTCGTTGGTTTCGCCTGCGAGAACCTTGGTCCGCGGGATCTGGTGCTCGGGAAGGGGCGCCCCGGGGGTGGCCGCGACAACATTGTCGTTCTCATCAACAAACTCAAAGTTATAGCGGGATAGCAGATGAGGAATGGCAGAGAGTTGCGGGCCGTAACGCGCTGTATTGTCGTACAGCTCGAATAACGGCACGGCGAGCAGCTTCATGTTCTTAGGGACTGAGAGGACCTCTATCAAGTCGCCGTCGGTTAGAATTCTCCAAAGAGTAAAAAGGCTCGGTGACAATCTGCAAACTTACTCTTCTTAGGCAGCTGAATGAAGTACAACTTCTTACACTCCTTAGGCCGCGTAACGTGTCCGGGGAGAAAAGGATACATAAACGTCTCGAAATTCGGCCGCCACCACTGCGCAAGGGTATCACCAATCTCCCAGTCTTCATTGACGCCTTCACCGGAGAATTGGGATCCCACCGGCGCCAGACGCTCGTTCAGCCGCTTCTTGAATCCTTCAACCTCGTCATCCTCGAAGTGAAGATAGTCACCTGGTCTTAGCACGCGGAGCATTAGTTTGAGTTTGTTCGCTGACTGGGACGTCTCGGGTTGGCTATTGAGGCCAGTCCAGCTCGAACCATAGCACAACGTACAACTTGAAGAATGCATTTGCGATCTGCAGCATCAGAACATGAGGATGATTGTGTTCGTGGCAGACAAGGACACCCTCGCAGGTTCGTCGCATGCCATGTTTCTCGTAATGTTCCTCCAGACGCTTTAAACGAGCTAGGACTGAGGGATCCTCTTCTGGTTGTGTCTCCTTGGTACCGAACGTGTAATTAGAAAGGGGGTATAAACGGATAGTCTTGGGTTGCTGTGCGGAGAAGTCTTTGGGAATGATAGGTCTGATAGAAGTTATACAATCAGTATAAATGTCGAGCGCAAAGACAGGCCGGCAATAGAGCCCCAAGGTGTAAAGAGGACAGGGTTCAAGCCAGAACTCACGGATGAGAGCTTTGCATCGACGTTGCTGTAGTTGTTGACATTTTGGGTGAAGTATATCCTAACAGAATCCAAATTTGTTTTTTGTGGTCCAGAGGCAAGAAGTCCCTTGGAATTGGAGGTGTTTAGATGTAACTCGCTTGTCGCATGTCGAAGCTCTGTTATGTCGCAGATCGGAGCTGCCCCGCGAAAACGTTCGGCCGGATTCCGGGCATTGCTTAGATGTAAAGACGTGACAACAGCTCTCGATGTCGACCACTGAACCAGATTTGCCCTGGGTATATTTCATGAGATGCCATTCATATCGAGGAATGTCCGCGAGATTGGCAGCTATCATGTCATCGTGTAACGAGGAAGGCTGTAGAGGATCAAAGATGCTATTCACGAATCAGGAAAACACTATGCTACACGACTGTCTTCGACTGTGGGTTGATTAAATCATCCCATACGACGATTCCTCGTTGCTACAGCATGCCAATGCAGCCTCCAGTGTACAGTATAAATCCTTTCATAAGAGGAGAAGAAGTACATTGTATAGCAAGTGCAAAGAGTCAATAGAGTCGAGGTGCAAGTCAACTATTCGACCGCCTGCCATCATCACGCATTAAAGTTGTCCAAGATAGCCACATCCTTGACCTTCTCCCAGACAGCATCGATCCGCTTCACAGCATCCGCACTCAGAGGACCCCTCTGGATCACCGCGATCGTCTCCTCAAACTGACTGATCTTACTCGCTCCGACTATGACCGCATCCCCTAGATCCTCGCGGATATGCGAATGGAAGAAGATCCACCGATAGGCCAGCTCA